TTGTTCTCATCTTTAAAGTTGTTTATATATGAGAAAGAAAATTTGAAGAAGATTCTAGAAGACAACAATGTACATTCTTGCAGAGTTAAGAGATCTGGGTTATGGTTTATTTTGTCAAGGAATTAGAATTCCACTTGCCATTGCAGAATTTTTGGACCCCTCTCTGTTCCAGTTCTAAAATGAATGTGCTAAAACGCAGGCTTGCCATGTCTGTAACAGGAGACCAGTCTGGTCTGCTGTTCATTAGCAGTTGTGTGAAAAAGCCTCTTTCTCTCCTAGGTTGCCGAGTGGGGCATCCAGAAGCTGGGACTTGCTGTGTATGCGGACCAGCTGGCCAGCACCTACAGTGGTGGCAACAAGCGCAAACTCTCCACGGCCATCGCGCTGATAGGCTGCCCGCCGCTCGTGCTGCTAGTAAGTGCTAGTGCTGCCCCAGTGCAAGCATGTTCAGTGGCAGTCCTCACAAGCTGCCCTCTGCCCTCAACTCGCATGTACTTCAGTGTCATTTTGAGTTCTGGAATTTTGGAGACTGGTGGACATCGCTATGTCCTGATGAATGAAAGATCTTAAACAGAGAACGACTTGAGACCATATCTATAATCCAAACAAATCAGTTTTAAATCTATGTTAATTTCAGTTTGCATTTTCTTGTCAAATTATAACTGCCCATGTAAGCAATGATCTTACGAAATATCTGTCTTCCTGGTTTAGCTAGCATAGTGAATGTTTGAGAGGATAGCTAGCCTTTTGCAATATTTAATATAACTGTAATAACCTGTAGAAAGTGGACTGAACTATAGGGATACTGAAATCTAGCTCTTCTTGAGTAAAGCCTGATAGTTGCATAGTTCAATGGTAATTCTAAATGCAGTTAATTCAAAAATTATATATTTAGACTACACAGTAGCACTTTGGGATATAATGGTTGCTTGAGTAATTTCATGGGCCTTTACATATCTTCTCTCTGTACATAGTAAACATGAATTTTTTTCTCAATTTTTTAAAGAGCAATTGTTGAATGACAATTTTTTCTCCACTTTTTTTTTTTTAACATTTTTAAGTGCTGACCAGGTTGACTGAATTTACACAGGATCAGATTCTCAGCTAAAATAAATCAGGGTGACTTCATTAGCTTATTGGGTGTAGAAATGTGTCCTATTTGTTTATGTTAGTAAGAAGTAGGGTTATTTTTAAAGCCTATAATATATTATAGGCTTGATATAATTTGATGTAACTGCTACCACCATTTTTATTCTTTTAAATCCTATATGCTTTGGTAATGAGGTATCACAAATACTTACAATTTTGGTGGCTAAGACCCCTGACCATGGACTGCCTTTGTCATAAATGTCACTGCATGCTTTTCCCTGTAGCTGTGTCCTACACAGGTCGCATTTGATTTTTACCTGTAGTTTCTTGAATTTGCTTCTTTGGCGTTGAAGTTTGCCTTGTGCCAGGAGTTTATCAATACCAATTCTTTCTCAAGCCACACGTGCTTTCTCAAGACAAAGATTTCAATAGGGAAGCAATAATACACAGAGGCCAAAATGCACAAAGAATCAATTCCGAATGGATATACTTTTCCTTATCTGCTTCTTTGACTGTCTGTCTTAACATTTTCCTTCCAGGATGAACCAACTACTGGAATGGACCCTCAGGCCCGGCGCCTCCTATGGGACTCTATTGTCAGTGTGCTCAGAGATGGACGAGCTGTGGTTCTAACCTCGCACAGGTAAGAAAAGTTGGAATTCAGGCAATTTACTGAATCCAAGAGTAGATGAAGTTGAGTTTTATCTCAAATTTCTGTTTTCTCTTTTGAAAGTATGGAAGAATGTGAAGCTCTCTGTACTCGTTTAGCCATTATGGTAAAAGGAACCTTCAAATGCCTGGGCACAATTCAGCAGCTCAAATACAAGTAAGCGGAGAGTTTTTATTATAAATTTTTATTCCAGCATAGTAGGGATTTATGGATACACTCAGCATATGTGACATATACCCTTCTGAATACAGCTGTCCTGTTGGATCCTGTTTGAAGGACTAAGCTAAAAGCTGTCATTTAAACAGACTCATTTCTACATGCCACTCTGTGATATATGGGAAACTTGAGCAGACCTCAATACTACTCTTCTGCGCTGCAGATCACTTCTGTAGGGCAGATACAGACTCATTAAGTTCCTACAGGGCATCACCTTAAGCACTGTCTTTTGGATATTGTCTGTTGTCAGTGCTGCTGAAAATTAATTTTCTTCCCTGTGAATAATGAGACCGTGTCTTCACCCACTCCCAAACCCACATTTGCTTCTAGATTTGGAGATGGCTACATTGTCACTTTGAAAATCAAAGCTCCAAAGTCTGGGATGCCTCCAGATCCAAGTCCCGCTGAACAGTTCATACGCATTAACTTCCCAGGGAGTTTACAGAGAGAGAAACACTACAACATGCTGCAGTATCAGATTTGTTCCTCCTCTCTGGCTAAGATCTTTCGGTTAATAATCTCCAATAAGGAAGACTTACATATTGAAGAATACTCTATCTCTCAAACAACTTTAGATCAGGTGAGTAAAACTTAAAGCATCCCTGAGAAAGTTTGTCTGGCAGGAATTGAGCAATGAAATGGGTTTGTACTCAAATACTTGAAGGACCATACTGTTCAGTGTAGGGAATTCTTCTTGCTCTTACTCAAGAAAAACTCCCAGAAACCTCATCAAGGAGGACGGATCAGATATGAAATCTCTAACTAATTCTCTGAGTAAATAAGTGCCAACTGAAAGCTGGTGAGACTGCATTTCCCAGATTCCAGAGTTCACCCAACCCATTCCATTAGGAAGAGCAGTCTGAGCAAGGTCAGCTCCTCAGAACAAGGCTTGTTCAGCTGGAATTAACCTAGTTCTTCTTTATGTTTATTTTAAATATAGATTCTTGACAGTATTGTGTCAGAGGTGCTGCAGTACCCAAACAGATGCTTATACATCTCTGTCATGTATTTTTATGCAGGATCCATTAGCCCCAAGAAGCCTGGGAAGTTCACTGGGGCTGTGGGCAGAGCATCAGCTCCATCTGCCTGCTTTTTGAGGTAGCTCAGGGTCTGTTTGCTTTTCAAAGTAGCTCAGGGTCTGCATATACAAAGCTATCTGTGTGAATGCTAGGGAGACATCTAGGCTGCCTTACAGCTTCCTAGTAAGATAATCTGTCTCTTCTCCCCATCACGATCAAACTGGCTCATATATTTTCAAGCCATGAAAATTATCCTGAATCCATTTACTGCTTAAGAAAGTAAGACTTTTAATTGCAAGCAAATTCATCCAAAGGAGGGAAAAAAAGTTGAAAAAAAACTTTATTAAAATAAAGAAGAAACGAATGATCCCCACTGAGGCTCAGGGTTCTGATCTAGTAAATGCTTCTGGACACCCCTTTCTGCCTCTTCTCTGCAGAGAAGCCAAGAGGTTGCAAATTTAAAAGAGCCGTGCAGCTAACTTAGTCAATGAGATGGTGACATTTGTCTGCTCTCCTCACACAGGTTTTTGTGAACTTTGCTAAACAGCAGATGGAGGATGAGGACATTCCTTTGCATCCCCGTGCAGCTGGAGCCAGCCGAGAAGCCAAGGTGTCCCCTGCTGTGCCGCAACAGGCAGCTGCCTAAACTATTCCTACAGCCACTAGCATCAAGAGTGTGCACAGTGCAAGGATGTGCCATACCAGAGCAGTACAAGGGTAAAATATAGGCTGCCAAGCTCAGTATTATTTTTATACCTTTCTGAGCACTGTGCTCACAACTGTTAGCAACAGTGAACTTCTACTGCTCTACAAGGAGAACTATGTGCAATACATGCTGGAAGTGTCAAAGGAAGGGCAGGTGCTTGCTCTAGAACAAAATCCTCTTCTAAGACACAGTTCATCATAAGGTACAGGAGGAAAGGTCTTATTCCTCTTTATAGAGGCAGAAAGACCGTTGAAGATACTTCTGCATCTGGTCCTTTTAATCTGGATCTAGATTTACCACATCTGTGGATCTAGATTTACCACATCTGTGAATCTAGATTTACCACATTTTTAATGTCAGTTTTAAAATCTTAAGTCAATTGCTACAAGTCAAAAAAAAAACAGTCCAAAGGCAGCTCAGAAGTGGATTCCTGCCATCCTGAGTGAGCACAGGACTACCAAGGTCAGGCTGAAGAGTCTAGCACTGGGAAACTCCTTCATTATCATGCCAGGCTGCTGGTGCAAACAGTTTTCTCAGCAAGAATGAGAAGAATAAAATAGGATCTCAGATCCAGCAAGAAATTTCTTTAAAAATTATTTATTTATGAAAATGATCTCATACTCACTTATCTATTTAAATGGAAACGAGTGAAAGAATGTCAAAACATGGATTAAAGGAAAGAGTATGTTCCAGTTGGCCCAAAGGTTTGTTATCCCTTGGAGCCTGGAAAGATATCCTTGTCACCAAACAAGATGAATTTTTTTTTTCCTTTCCTGTGACCTGGACTTCAAGTGAGTGTACAGTTTGAATAAGATACGTGCTTTCTGAGTGCTCAAAAGAAGAATTTCAGCCTGCTTGTATTTCGCACTGTATGCAATGGGAGATCATTTGGCATTTAGCTCTTTTTCTCTGGTTAAACTACTGAAGGATGAGAATACTAAAAACAAATTCATAATGATGTATTGCTTCAGTTATCTACCAGACCTCATCATTTTTTAAGATACCTTCTCAAAGATAGGATGTGCTGCAGAAAAATGAAATCTGGATCATGTCTTCTGCTTCATTAGTTTTTTTCTTCAGTTGATATAGATCTTTTTATTTCATGCAAGAACATTTTTGCTTTATACTGTACAAAAGATTATCAAACTTCAGTAACTAGTCTTCTTTTACTGTAATTATTTCAGCTGAATTCAAAAGATAGGCTGGAATTTATTGCATATTTCACAGTTGCAAGGATCTTTCTATACATCTAAATAAAAGATAAATTAATCATGGAAAAAACAATACTTATGCATTCTCTTCATATTCTAAAACAGCTTCTGTAAAATATTCTTCAGATAGATTGCAATAGTTTTTTTTTTTTTAACTATGCTTTTACAAAGCCCTTTGATGTCCTACTGAACATCTTATTAAAACGAAAACACAGGAAGTCCAGACTGTAACTGAATTTTCTCCCTGGCTCTAAAAATAGGAAGAGAGCTCGCATTCTGGGGACGATCAGTCACTGAGTGTGTTTACAAAGTGCATTAAAAAATATTCAGAGAATGCTGACATAAAAGGCTAGGGAGAAATATCTATCCTTTAGTGTCATATGCACTTGCTGTATGAAAACAGGCCATGAAATATCTAATCAAATGTAGATTAGATCTTATAAAACCTATTTATTAGTATGTAATTTACTGATAGAGAAGACATTAAAAAAGAGTTCAGGATGGTACATTCACAAATACTTCTTATTTTATGTTAATTTGGCAAATTATGGATTTTTATGGATTAAATATCTAAGTTAGATATTTAAGATATTGCCGACTTTATTCCAAGAACCACTCGTGCTCTTTGGTAATGCTCTTGCTCACCAAGCACCTGCCTGCAGGCGGCACCTGGAGCCGCGCAAGCGGAACGTGCAGCTCTGTTAGGCCGGCAGAGCCCGCTGGCTCCGAGGAGCTCTCCCGTGGCAGGCTGCGAAGTGCTCCTTCCAGCGGGCTTAGGTCCCACACGTGCTGAATGCTGCTGCTGCTGAATTTGGAGCTGATTTCAGCACAGGCTTCTCGATATCTCTGATCCCTCAAAAGGGTCTTTGACTATGAGCTAAGCACCAAGATCAGATTTTTCAGAGGTGCTCCTGAGTTACAGAATTCTTGAGGGTAAGGAAGTATAGCTTTTAAGCTATACGGTTTCCCCAAGCAGTAGCAATTCAACATGCATCAGAATAATCTAATTAATTCACTTATTTGACAGGAGGTTTTTGAATGAAAATAACCCATGAGCTTTTCTTTTGAAGTTCCATGCAATAATCCAGATAATCTTTTTTTCTTACAACAAAAAAGGAATAATTGGCATTCGAAGAGTTGGATAGTCCTTGAATTCTCGTAGATAGGTGTAATGTTTATCCTTTGCCCAGATTGTCATCTGAATGAAGCAAAGCAAGGTGAACAGCCCCACTAGAAGGAAAGAATAAAACAGGTAATGTTTCATTATCAGAGTAACAACATACTCTTTTATGCTGACAACACTTCAGGGAGCAGTACCAAAACATTACTCACCTGGGACACACTGAGTCATGATAGTGAAACTGATCCATGTCCCAACCTGTTTTGGCCAAGGAAATGAAAAATATTTCTGGTGACAGCATTTGTGTTTATGTCTGAATTGATCAAAAACAACCTCATCCTAACATAGGTTAATAAAAAGCAAAAGTCAGCCAAATCAGTTTCTGGTATCGATAACTTTTAGTCAAAAAATTGAACAATGTCTTTCTATCACAAACAAAATCTTAATGTTTGCTTCCATAGTAATTATCATGCGTAAATTTTTAAAGTATTGCAAGATAGTTTCCCTTCATTTTCTCTGCCAATTTTGATTTTGTTGCTCCTCTATTATTGTTAAGGATGGCAATTTTCTGTGGCATTAGGCCAAATCGTTGTTCTCATTAACATCTGTTAATTGAAGTCAAGACTTCATGCAGTCTTTCTGCACAAGAGTGCATTTTACCTTGGGCTGCACTGGCTTTAATTGCTTTTGGCCTGGGCCAAGAGTTTGACTCCTGATTGGAGGATATGAAGCGATTCACTGATTTAATCTTCTAAACTAGCCACCACCAACACAAGTTATTTTTTAACTATGTAATTCACAGAATTGGGCAAGTAGGCTTGGCAGGTAGTTTCACATTCCAATTTCCCCATTTTTTTGCTACCACAGTATCTCCTGTTTATCTGTCCACTGTCTTCCTGAATACTGCAATATCTGTTTTGTGTTGTCAGTCTCTTCTGTACCTCCATTCCCTCCCTGCAGCACCACACCCACAGTGTCAATCTCCCTGTTCTTGTTTGCAAAATGTTCCTTGCCTTAAACTATCTCTGCATCTTGGCCAGCAGCCACACTCAGATGTGGCTCAGGGCCTGGAGGCTCTGCCTAAGGTGAGACCCGTAAGTAATGCATCAAGGGGAGGGAGGAAGAACAGATGAGTTCCAGGCTGAAGAAATTTCATGGGGTTTATAGGAAGAGGCTAAATGCATTGGGCTGAACTGTCTTTAGGGTTTCTTCTGTATTTAACGTTCCAACAGAAATGAAAACACACCCAGTAAAACTAAAATCTTAGCATCTGGTTTGAAAGACATACCTCATACGTATAGTTGGGACAAGATACAAAGAAAAATAGCCATGTGAATGGATTCTTTGTTGGATATGGTATTTTACGGGTTCTGGATCCTGAGGATTAGAAAAAAAAATCATAAAAAGATATTGACACTCCTAGGTAAGCTGCAGCTTTCTCTAATTAAAGCCCAAATGTGCCTACTCCTATGTTTCATCACTGCCAGTAGGACAAGCCAGACGTGGGTAAACAAGACATCTGCCAGACCCAGAAGAAGGAATAGGATAACTATAAGGAAATGTCCCAGGCATTTAGAAGACATCCGCATTATATTTGCAGATGTGGCCTTGGATCAGAGTCACTCCCCTAAGAGGTACCTCAAGTATGTTTTGAACCTCAGAAATTTTAAGTGTTTTCAGAGTATCTCAGAACTCCTTTTTTTGACAGTCACTCAACAGAACGTGTCTGGCTATTGCACAAGGATCCCTGCCCTGCAGAGATCCTGTGTCCCCTGCAGCAGCTAGTCAAATTGCTTTTGCTTGCTCACTGAAGTATAGCTTGCACTGAAAGACTTGCTCCTTTTGCACTACCACTGTAGCTAATGTAACTGCTCTCCAGAACTACCTGGCCCTAAACCAAGAAAATTTACAGTGAGGTAAGAAGTGTTATTTAATTGGCTGGTGTTGAGTTTCTCTCCATCTCCCCTATTATCCAATGTTTAGCGTGCTGAACAGCCTACGCTTCCACCAGCAATTGTCTGGAGAATATCAAGATCCTCCAGGATCAGGCCTCTCGTGAGAGTGTGTAACTGTGGAAGTACTGCCTGAATGCACAGAAGGAAAAAAATAATGCAATTTTTACCATCTCTCTGGAGGTCACTGAGGGCAACATGAATAGAAAAATTTCCAGCTTCACACAGCTACAAGAAAAGCCATAACGGAGTTAAAAAAATGTGTTTCCCTTCTATTTACTCTTCTTCTCTTTGTTAGTTCCTGGGGTACTTTAGAAAGTAAAAGATCTATTGTAAAACCAAACTAAATAATAGCAGTTAATGTCTGAACAAATGTCCTTAACCAAGATTGCTTAATAATAAGAGGATTGAATAATTTTGTTCATTCTCTCTTCAAATATTAAGCTGTGTTGTCCTTTAAAGCTATGAGATTTGTCAGCAAAAGTGGACATCGCCAAAAGGTCAAATTTACTCTATTTTATAGAGTCCCTATGAGATCTAAAGGTAGTAAGGGAAAGAGGATAAAAGTTGATCCAGTGAATACTTGCTTTATCTTTAGATACTTATATTACTCATGTTTTTAAAAACACCCCAAAAAGTTGATTTGGACAGTTTTGGTATCTCAAAAGTTATTAAAATTCCAAAGTAAATAACAGTTCTCTGGAGATTTATTGATATGAACCATAGAATATAACTGACTCAATCTCCTCCAATGCATTTATATAATACTTCCTCAATCAATTACATGGCAAGTATATTGAAATAGGTTGTTTATATAATCAGAGACAGTATCCAGTCTCTGCAAAGTATGATTATTAAAGCAAATGACTAGTGGTCAGAATTCTAAGGTTTCATATCCAGCTATGTACTTCCAGTTAAATAAATAGTCTCTTTATAAAATGGTAATAATTATTAACTCAAAAAAAATCATGCTTGGAGGCTACTTTGAGATTCTTTAGTTTCTAGATCTCTAGATCATTACTTTCTCAAAGCCATTTATCAACTGATACTTAAAGTTAAAAACAGTCTTATTGCTTCTATATACGAAATGGTCGTAGGCACCATGAGAATGAATAGACATTGACTTAAAGATTTTGTTTCATTAGGCAAGCTGTAAAAAAAAAAAAAAAAAAAAAAAAAAAAAAATGAAGCCCATAAAATGAATCTCTCTTGCAACAGTAACATAATTCCTTAGATGCCCAGTTCTCTCACTTTTATGACATTTTATGATCCTTGGCAATAAAGGAGTTCACAAAATTGATCAGTTTTTAAATACAAGACAAGGTTAAAAGATTGTTTTAAAAATCATGAAAGATACTCTAGCAGGTAAATAGCCTAGTCTCAGAATGGATGATCAATCGAAATCTTCACATTAAAAATGGACAGATATTAAAGCAGAACAGGTAAGTTCTGCTTACAGGTGTTTGTCTTCAGTAGTATGTCCAACTTTCCTAGTTTTAAGTACCTGCTTATCCTATCCACTCCCTCACTTATGCAACATAAGAAATAAATAAGCATGATTCAATATTTTATTAAAAGAAAAAGAAACCACAGACCTACCAGAAACATGATCACAGCAAAATTTATCTGTTTTTTTCCGTAGGCTATAAAACAAAATATTTACTGATGATTAGGACTAGTATATAACTAATATATGTATATAATACTAATTATGTTGGGAGCTGTTCTGATACTTACAAGGAGGGGTGTAAAGAGGGTGATTGATGTAATAAGCAAGCCAAGCAGCAAATCCCCAGTAATACAAGCAGTTCTGAAAAATAGGGAATTTTTTGTTTGATTTAGGATTTTTAATGTTAGGATTCTTAAACCATCCCATTTGTCAAGAGAAATCAATGCTAACTGCAGGGCCTATATTTGGTGCAAGAACTACTGATCCTTCATGTTGTAGGTAATATAGTGAAAAATGACAATGCTAAGTGTGGTAAAACTAGAGGAGAAACAGGAAATAGCAGGAAAGAAGTAGTGCTTGTAGAGAATGATTTCTTAAATATCTCAGAGCTGTTTTTCAAAAAACAGTTTTTGAAAGCACGATCCTAGTATTGAAAATAAATTCCTCTTGTTTGGCAAGCCATTTGGCCAAAGATCCTGTACCATAAAGACTGTATGTTAAATGGTTTTGCTAACCACAGAGACTTTCTAAAACCTGGCTTAGGCACTGTGGTCTCTTCCCTGCTTATTATTTTGTACTAGCCAACATCTTGCCCTCCCCCTTCTCTATCCCATCAGTTTCCTTTTCTTCCTGTGCTTCACATTTCCTCCACAAAGCCTTCAAAGCTTCACAAAGCCAAAACTCATTAGAGTTTCTCCATGGGCTGTCCTCCTGCTGCTGTTCCTGCCTTTCCGTGATCCAGCTTCCATTCTCTGAATTCTGGGAATGCAGGTGTCATGCTAGTGGCTGTAGGGATCTCTTCCTGACAAGATCTTTCAGTGCATCCTCAGGCTGGAAGCTGTACTCCTACTGGGAAGCTATTTAGAGCAATGGCCTCTACATCTTGGATGGTTTTCCTGTTTTTATCTCGTGGGTTTTTTTTTTTTCCTCCTAACAGTCATCACTTCTTCAGTATCTTAATGACAGCTTACCTGCTCCTCCTTACTTGTCTGTGGGTAGAAGGCAGGCCAATTTTTGGCCTTTCCCCTTCTTTTTCTACACTCTTACCTCTGCATGCTCTTCTCTTGCAGGCAGACTTTATTAACCCTTGTCTCTCTGTTAACCCCTGAACATCACATCTCTCATCAGTTAAGATTTTTTTTTTTTCCGTTATCAAGCCTGGTGTAGTAATTTCAAGGACTTTAGAGCAGGTACTCATCCTCTCAGTCTTCCAGGTGACATTATTTTCTTGGCCTTCTCATAGGTCCCCATACTTTACTCATTTCTAAATCTTGCTTTTTCCTTCACAGCTTTTCTGCCCACAAAGGCAAAACACTCATTGCTGCATTCTCAATTTAACTTCTTTTCTGACTTTGAATTTTGCAGTCTTTTTTCTACTGTATAAATTGAAACTGCACTTTTAGCAATAATTCCCCAAAAGTGATGACCTCAGCATGTGCAACCCACACTAGCTGCTTGCCGAGTATCTGACAGTGCATTTTTCTGAAAATGCTGCTGTGAGGGGTAACCAGCCCTGCTGCTGCAAGCAATTGCATCAAATACTCTATTGCATTTTCCCCTTCTTTTCAAAATTAAGCGAGCCACTGAAGCAGCCAGAGACCTCAAACAAAATGGAGGCCTCTTCAGATGTGGCACAGTAGAAACATGCTATGTCTGTGTTCTGGAATCAAGTGATGAGAAAGAACAAATTATTAACCACTAATTACTAGTGGGACAAGGAGGCAGAGAGATTAAGTGACTTCCCCACAGTGCCTTCACATTTTCCCAGGAAAAACAGCAGAGCTTGAAGAAGGACTCCAGTTTTGAGCATTTTAGTCGGGGTCCTATCCACAAACAATTACTTTCTCACTAATGCTAATTTCTTCCACCTTCAACCAGATGGGTGTTACTAAAACATTCTTGGAACCTTTTATGGCACAACCACTGTCACCTCTCCTGTAGAAAGCTCTTTTATTGTCATGTAATTTTTGATTTAATCCCTATCTTGTTAACCTCAAGCCAGCTCTTAGCCAAAATCCAGATAATCAGATAAATCCAAATAAAATTCCACCTTGCCTTTGCCTAAAAACTAAATTATGTAACTTAGAATTACACTATAATAGTCTGGTAGGACTTCCTTTTGGTGAACTCTTTCTCCTTTTTCTGCATCTTCCATTATCTTTCTATTTATTCCTGTTTTCTTTTTGTGAAACAAAGACAAATGGTGAAAATCATGAATATCAATTCCTTTCTCAGATCTCTGCTTACCAAGACTTAGTGTGTCTCTTTTTAGGGCTAGCTTTTCACTCCTCTTCAGAAAAAAAACAATCTGTTATGTATGTGATGATACACTTAAAGTTTTATCTACTATCTGTATGTGAGAAAAGGGGAGAGGGTGTGATATTTTTTTGACTGATGCAATTTGGGAGTAACACCATCAAAGTCAATGAAATCATAAAAGTGAATCAAACCCAAGCACTGCTAAGCAGGAAGAGGAAGACCTATGAAAAACTTCACAGATGAAAGCCAATAACATGAACCTGAGAAGGCAGAAAGTAGAAGTCAGAATGTCTGGCAAAAACGACAGTTTTAGCAACTACAATTTGTATGGTTTGAAGGGAACAGTTGTCAGAGATGGCAGGAATATATGAGTATTTATCACACTGTACAGATTTTTTTTCAAAGTTAAGATTTTCTAATTTCACAGATCTGCACTTCAGCATACATCAGTTACTGTTGTGTCAAAAACAAACCTTTAAGGGAGCTACTAGCCTTTTTAGAACCCCTGCATCCCTCTGCTTCAGAAAATGCTGGCAGTAACTTGGTGGGGGGGATTCTTTCTAAAGGCTGCTGCTTAGCTCTAGACCCTCCTTCCATTTAAAAACATGAAGCTGTTGCCAGAATTACTGAGCTGCTGCACAGCTGTAACGAGTTAGCCACAAGGCAGTTTCAGCTGCTGGGCAGTATCACTGCCATAGTGTGAATTCCAAGGGACAGAGTAAGTAAAAGATGTTGAATACCCTTTTACTGATATAGTATGTGCTTTTCCAGCTATAGATGATAATCTGCTCCCCTTCAGAGCATAAAACATATTTTGAATAACAGTATGTGTTCTGTTGTGAACATTTTAAAATAATGAGTCTATGAGTCACTACACAGTCTAGTGCACTACCTTGCAGACATCTAGGTAATAGGAGGCCCACAGCTTAACAGCCACCCTACACCACAGCAGCACTGCTGATACTGGGGGGGGTGTCCAAGGCCCCGGAAAAAAAAAATACAGAATAGCCAAGTTGCTTTGTGGTGGAACAATTAAAGCTAAATTTACATTTGCTAAATAGTAAAGATAGTGTTGGGGGGAACAAAGTATGAAATAACTACTATAAAAAGCAGATTTTTAAAATCAAGCCTCCCAACAATGTATTTTTCTTTACTACCTTAACAGTTGAGATTGTTACTAAACCCTTCATACCCAGGGAGTGAATAAAAGGGAATGCTAAGGTATGAAGTTCTGAAAGCAATGAGAAAACTGCAATATAAGTCATTGTATGGCAACACATGAGTTATACAGTAAGAAATCTTTTGAAAGAACTAGTGATTTATAGTGAGGTTTTCTGTACATTGCTACAAAAGCCACACCAACAAACCAGTACTGCAGCAGCAGTGCAAAGGGTGACTAAGTTGGATATATTAGGAGGCTATGGATAGATTCGTTCACAATTTACCTTCACAATATTCCTCAGTGGCATAGTCCCCTGGGAGAACCGATGAACAAATACTGTTTCAATCAACCTTTTGATGTAGTGGAAAGAATGGCAGATACATGCCAAGCTAGAAACAGCAAGACAAAAGCATTTCAGAATGCTTAAAGAAACAAGTGTGGCAAGACATTTGGAATAAAACTACATCGTTAACAAGAAATACTGCTCAAGGCCTGCAAATGGACTTACTTAACTACTGGATGTGGGCTTGATGTAAACCTCTCATCCAGGCCATAGACAAAAGGCATGCGGAAATAAAACAGAAAATAGATGAACAATGGACCTGTATATTCTATCAAAAACACCTGCAAAAAGAGAGAGAATAATTAGACAGCTGAATCAGATGGTACTTGTGCTTTGGTTTCTTCGTAATAGGTAATGCAGTGGGATAAACACCTCCACTGACCCAGAGTGGCATTTGGAGAAGCAAGGAGAGAATAGCAGGTTTGAGAATAGGACATGAAACTTGTAGACATGCATTTAAATCATTTGCAATGCATCTGCAGTAATTGCACAGAACTACAGCCACAGTCAGTGCAGCTGACACAAAATGGGTAGGAACATGTTATCACGGCAACCCAAAGCTCATGGTAAATGTACGTGCATGTTACATTTACACAGCTGCCCTGCTCATCCCCTCAAAAAGTATTGCTCTGTTTTGGATAAAAAAAGAAATTTGGTGAAGAATTTATCTTGAAAAAGAGGGTCATTGTTTCTAATGAATGAATTTTGTTTAAATGGGAAAAATGTTTTGTATATGACTTCATTTGTAGGAACAGTTAACATAGCACAGACATGCATGATAACATGTACATGCTGTATGTTTATACAGAGCTAGAATCATTTTGTCACAGAAAACAATCGATTTATTCTGCATTCAAATAATCTCCTGTTAAAAAAATAGAATTTGAGAGAAAATGAAGATAATTTTTTCTCTTCTTTAATGAGTAAGGTAGGTCCTTACACCTCAGTTCTATAGAAAGAAGGGAAGTTGTGTGCGCTCCTGTCAAAGAAAAGAATTCACTGATTTCTAATGTGTTTAGAGCTGCTTTGACACTGAGAACAGTTGTTGTATTATCATCCACTTTTGTAATAGAACTAGTATTTTTTTCTGACAAAGATATGACTTGATTGTAGATCAGAAGTTTGTCTTTTTTTTCACAAAATTGAGTTATTTCTTAGCTTACATTTGAATGTAGTAGCTTAAAGGACAGGGAGAGCAGAGTGTAAATGAAGGATAATGAAATGGTCAAGGTTGACTGGTGTTACTCTGCATTGTGATATTTTGGTGTATATTAATGCATGTGCACCTTGAATCTGCATTGTCTGCATAATTTTTTCTTGGTTTTAAGATTATGATTTAACCGCTGCCTGTTTTATCAGCAGAATATCCAAAGTGTAATGATTGTGGATTTAGTCTCATAGAATAATGACTTCTTATTTTACTTTTTATCAGTATCATCTTTGCTATATGTTCTTAACACAGAAGATATTAGTGTTGCATAGCCAGAAAATGCTACATGTGCCTTTAATTTAGTGCATGCCTTTCGCTTTGTGCTGTGCTGTTTAATTGAGACTAGCAGACAGCCTGTGTGCTGTGGAGACCTTGCAAGGTCACCTCTGTGCATAAACAGCAGTGCTGTGTCACCTGCTGGGCGAGCCCTGATGGAGTGAGCCTGTGAATTAGGAGACTAAATGCATGATGACTTCTTGGATGACTGCTAGACTGCCGGAATGATCAGCTGTCAGAAGCCTGACATTAGCATCCTGGGGCAGAGCCACACACAAACAGCTCATTTTACTTTCGTGCGTTGAATTGCAGAAATGGAAAACCACTCACATGCCTCTCTGCAGGAAAACTCATGTGAGTATAATCCTGATCTTTGAGAATGGAAGTTACATAGATCCTCTGAACCAGATCCTCAAGGATAGTTAGCCACCTGGTTCCCAGAGATTCTGTGTTAGACATCTAAATCTGTGTGAGACACAGCAGCTTAGTGGAGTCTAGCCAGCCTACCCTGCAGCAAAATTGCTGCTGCTCTTCAGAGGACTAGGCATTCAAAATATTCTGTTCCTGGTTTCTCTGGTTAAATGAACTGAAGTGAGGAAGATTCACTGCCTGTATCCACTATTAGAGCAGTCATCATGCAGCAATGTTGGAGAGGGACAGAAAGTGATGTAAGGGTTAATAATGGAGAAATCCCCCTTCAAATGCCTCAGACTTGTAATATAGCTCACCATAGTCCATCCTATCTGTGGCCCTAAATCTTTAAAATATAAGGTAGCAGTTGTGCCAACAGGGAGGTGCTGCAGGATTTCCTCATCTCTCAGGGACTTTCCTTCTAAGAAGGAAAGAAGTAGTTACATCTCAGTGAAATTAAAGTCAGCTTCGGTAGCATCTTAGCCTTATATTGTGCTTTAACCAATCTGTGAGACTCTTGGAGCTCACACAGGTTCACTGGAATTTCAATAATAAACTAAAAATGCTTGTATTTAACTTTGATTTACCTTAGTAATCACAAGTAAGTCTTCTTATTCACACCCAAACAGTTAGGAGAATTCTCTATCCTATCTGCCAGCCTAGCCTGCTAGACTTGCTTTTTCATGGATACAGCAAAAGTTGCTGATGGGGAACTGCCATGCAGTGCAGTTCACAGCTGAACCTCCTTTTCTCCTTTCTTCTCCTTGCTCATCACCAGACACACCAAAGCTGGGATAAGCTGAGATTGGAAGACCTTCCTACAGAGCTTTTTATTTCCTCCTTTCTTTCCAACCAACTAACTATGGGGTTATTCCACAGGATCTCCAAGACACATACCAGCTTTAAGCTGCCTGAGCACTTCAGACTCTAGAATTTGGGAGAATTGTTAGGAGGCCAGCATTTTTTATAGCAGATCTTACAATGTAAGTCCTTTGAAGGGGTCTGACAAAGTAGATGTTTGTGGAAGGCAATAGGATTCTCATGCTCCTATTTTCCATGTACAGATTTTACACAATGGATTAATTTCAATTAGCACATTTTTATGGGAATGTATATATTACTCTAGCTAGAAGCAAAAACAAATAAAATGCTACACTTTATGCTGAATGTTAAGATGAATTAACACCGTTTTGCAATTTTACTTTTTTTGTGTGCCAAGTCAGTGTACTTAGAGACTCCTATTAGCAATACCTATATCTAAATTAATCAAGTTAGCCAGCTGGCACCAACTATGTCAGCAAATCCTATATCCATGATAATGTATTTAGCATCAGCTTACTCCAAAAGAACTGTAATTCCTGCCTGAGAGGGGAGGATTATGTGAACTGGCAGCTATAACTCATAGTCCATCTTAGCACTCCCAGCTGAACATCACTGCAGGGATCATTTCAATGCAGCTAAGGAAAAAAATGGACCCAGATTCCAAGCTGCTTGGCTTCAAAGCTGAAGTGCTTAGTAGTTCACAAGAATAATGTCCAGACCCCTGAGGCAATTGCCAAGCACCAGATACCTGAGGGGAACTCTGTCCAATACTTTCAAAGAATTAAATTGTTCTGGATTCCCTTCATTCTTCACAGGGCTAATCAGCATAGCTGGAAACTTATTCTTAAGCCCTAATACCCTTGCAAAGTACAGTTTTTATGCCAGCCCCCTGCCCACAGCTGGTCTTCCCAAGTACTTACTTGGATCCAGCCTTATCGACTGCCTTGCTGGATACCACTGAGGATCTGCAAGACCATACAGAACCGCGTGACGTACAATGCTTATTTTTAGATTTAACTATTATAATGAATGCAACACAATAAGATAAGATTTATGTGATTTTTTAAAGATCATTTGTGTTATCATGGAATGTGAGAAATTGTCATAAATTATATATCAGGAAAAAGAAAATGATTTATGATAGTATAAAGAAAAATGATTTTGAAATCTCACTGTGATCACATTCATGTGCAACTTATTTAGCACTGTGTGTACTTCATGTTCCAAACGGTAATTGCCTCTTATTTATATATTTAGTATCCTGTTACGGTGTTAACTATTGCAAAACTTGTACTCACATGATTTATGGAACAACAATCTGATTTCCCTAATTGTGGCATTTGATTCAACCTAGGCAACAAAGAATATCATACATATAAGACATATTTTGAAAGATGACCATTCAGACTATTCAAATAGAAAAGCAAATTTGACAATCTTCTCATATCCAGCTAGGGTTGGTATACAGAGTACTTCTTCCAGGAAAAGAGGAGGATTTAATTTATGAGTCTTGTTTCAGAAGCAGCTACAGTAGCAGTGACCAAGGGTTAGCACAACAGCAGTGGCAGATTGATGGCGTGTGAGTGAATACGGCAAAGCTCCCTCTGCCTTAGTGAAGCAGCTCACGTTGAGCAGCTTTTTGCCCAAGAGTGCTTTCTGAAAAAGGGCTGTACTCTGTAGGCAGCGTAAAGAAGTGTGCATGGTGGCTGCCTCTGCAGGGGCTAAGGAAATGCTTTCATTTGGGAGATTAAATACTCCTTGCAAACACAAAATTTACTTAGTCACCTACCATTTTAAACATATTTTTGTTTTACCTTATCTAGGAAGCATAGCTGTTTCTTTGTCTTCCAGTCAAGGATTTCTACCTGAGAAGATACAAATTATAATTATTAAGCTGAATTGGTTAATAGATATACAGATATATGTACATATGTATATGTTATAAAATACACATATGCTGAGGTTGTCCTCATGTTAGGGGGAAAGAAAGGAACAAGGACAGAGAGTTAGTTTTCATAGGATTCACTAAGGAACAAATAGACCTTCAGAATTTTTATGATTTACCAAACAAGAAAGGCAATTTGACAAAGAATAATAACATATATGCATGTAAGCAAATATTTTGAGTACATACATCTTGAAGATTCATGTACATTGTTTCCAGAATATGATAATTGTGAAGAGAAAATATAGGCAGATATATTGAACAAAGATCAAAAATCTTTAAGAAGTTTTAATGGGAATATTCAGAGATACTATTGCCTCTTCAGATCACCTGCATATTACCATTCTTAACGCTTATCAATAGTGTCATTACAGTTCAGAAAAGGAAAGAGTGGGATTATTTCAGTGTTCCTACTAGATTTTGACAAAAAGACTATGATTTTAATCAACAGTCAAGCCCACGTAAATTTGTTGCATAGTTTAAAGTTAAAGTTAAAAGTTAAAACCGTATCTGTCACACCAGATGACTGCAACTATCATTACTCAGTACCAAATTGTTTGCTGGGTTTTTTAAACAAACGCCTAAAATTAATTATGTTTGGTATTAACTGACCAAGAGAAGAGATTAACATTAAACTTTAAATATGATTCCTAACTAAAAATAGAAGTCATAGTCCAGAATCTTTTTAATAGGGTTGCTTTGAAGAGATCACTTGCTAAGAGTATCTTATTTCCTTCTTGTACTTGTCCTAAATTGTTCTTCCTTTGTTGGTGCAGCAATAGAGCACTTCAGACAGAAGTATCAGCTCCAGTCTTCTGCACAAGGGATGCTAATGAAGTGGAATGCTCTGCTTGTGCATTGTAAGATATAGGAGGGGTTCAGGCAGGTAGGCACTTTCCCTTCTTTCTGATGCTAATGAAGATGTGACTGGTTATTGGGATATTACATTTTTTTCCCTTTATCATGAAGGGCAATACAGGGGAATACCTCTTCATTCTTGAAGGCTTATGAAATACCAGGGATTTCAAGTTTTACTGTCTCTGTGCATGGAAGTCTGCTTTGAGGAGCAAATGAAATGGATTTCCTTCCCAAAAGGGTATTCTGAAACTACAGCATTCCAGCTTTTGCAGTCCACAGAACAGGTACTTTGGAAGCTCTAAACCACTTTTCATCCTTGCTGAAGCTGAGTTGCTGCGGTGAACCCTTTCATGTATGTCTAAGTTCTCATGTTAGTGAATACCATAGTGCTACCCAGTAGACTGTAGCAGTACCCAAGCCTTAGCAGTGTCCTTCCCATGACACAGCATGCACAAATTAGACCAGACTCCTCCAGGTGCAGATTTAGTCTGTCATTTTCAGTGTCTGTACCAGAGATCCTCTCCAAGCCAATTTTAGAGTGTTTTAAATGTCTTTCTGCCACCTACTGTCTTTTAATTGGGTTATTTTCTTTATACACAGACTGAAGATTATAGAGCATTTTCTTTTGTTCTGTGATCTTCTGGGGAGTAGATATATGGAAATGTAGAAGTGTCTCTGTGAACTTTTGAAAACAGTGAAATATATACATACATATATATACACACACATATATATATATCAATATCCGCAAAGACCTGCTGCACTGCTGTTTGGTTCCACTCCGGGGTGTCTCTTAAAAGTGTCAGACGGGCATACCTGCCTATACTGGCCCACTTCTTCAACAACCTATTGGGAACACGCAGAGAAGATGATCCAGGCTCCTCTTGGAGGTGCACAGTGATATGGCAAAAAGCAAGACACCCCATTAACAACATTTTAAGCGGATAGAAGGAACTTTTTTCACCATGAAAGTGCCTGAACGTAAAACAGGTTGCATAGAGAGGATGTGGCATGTCCATCTTTGGAGATATTTAAAGCTGGACCAGACAAGACTCTGGTCTGGTTACACCTGCTTTGAGCAGGAAGCTGCCTGCCTGCCTTACAGAGGTCCCTTCAGACTGAATTTTTTTTTTTTCTTTTTTTTTTTGGACACTCATATTTCTGAACTTAAAGCATTTCAGTTGCTTTCCTTCTTTCAGGAAGAGGGACAAAGGAACACAGCTTTAGATTCTGCTCCATTGCATGGAAAGCTGTGAAAGAACCGAGTGAAAACAAGGTAAATATTTCTTCTGTCATGCTTCTTAGCTAAGCCAGAGCATCCCCAAAGAGTTTAGATATTCCCTGCAACACAGAAGGGGCAGAAAAGCCTGATCCAAGTTAAGAAATATTATCTTTTCTGAACATAATGGCCAACCCCATGAACTCGCATAGCACCAGAGTGTTTCTAGTCTTCACAGCTCAGCACCAAGTTGGTTAATGTATTGGTTGGCAGTAGTTTTTAGATACCCCAGCAGCCTGTTCTTGGAACATCCACTCATGGGTATCATCACTTTCAAACATGAATTCTTTGGCTCAGAGAATTTTAATCTCTACGTGTTTTCAAAGCATTTAGCACAACAGGGCACTGACAGTTGGCTTGCATTAGCACAGTATGACTTTACAGTCCACTTATTTGGTGAATTTTTAAAGGCCTTTTAAATTACAGCTCCTCTAAGACTGTTTTTTGTAGACCTCAGTCGATACTTAGATTTGTGCAAGATACCTATAAATTAAAACTCTTTTGGAAATGACCCTTCAAAGTTTAAAAGATAAATTCCTTCTAGTATGTAAGGACAACAGGCTGAAATTATCTTTAAAAAAGAGGAAAAGGTTTGATTTTATTTGCCTAGTATGGGTAAAATGCAAGGAAAAATCTACAGCATATGTATAGAAAAGTACATTCAAGTATTCATAGAATCATAAAATATAATTATGTTTGGAAAAGACCCTCAAATTCATACGGTCCAACCATATTAAGCTGTTATTCATAGGAGTAGTAGTTTATCAGTGGAGAAAAACGGTTGAGTAGACACAATGTTTAAAAACAAATTTTAAGATACAATTTCCTTTCAACTGCATTACAAAAATATGGTTGATCTATTGCCTCTCCCCCTTTAAAGCCATGTAAAATAACCTCCTAGAAGTAAACGGGGTTAAGCCAAAGGGAAATTGCTGAAAGTGTAGCTATACTCAAAATTATGTTTATGCAGCTGGTGCTACGATAGAATTTTCATCTGCAACACTGGAATGTGAGACCAGTCACAGGGGATGCATGCTAAGGATGATTTAGCTAGTGTAGCTTTTTTCTGATATATCCAACAATAGATGCCTCAGAGTAATAAAACAGGGTAAGAAAGTAGCAAGGGGAGAGAACAGGCAGGCAGATGAACACACAGACGTAGAGATCACGATTCTCCTGCACCAGAAATGCTACCTTTGTATTTAATAGCTTTTAATGGATTTTTAATTGGTTTATTAACTTGGTTTTTAAAATTGTGTGTACTTTAAGTATCAGCTTTGTCCTGAGACAAGGTTCTGTCCATAGCTAAACTACATGGTCTGTGAAGAATTCTTAAAACAGAGCAAAGGTAAAGAACCAGATTCCATCCTCTTAGCGATAGAAAGTGATATTCTTCCTTTCCAAGCCATTGGCTTAAATTTCATGAGGCTGGAATCCACTTATGTGGATTAATTGGATTAATACATGAATTAATAATCCATATTAATGATTCTGTGTATAAATGATCTCAGAAGAAATGAAAAATTCCTCTTCTTGCAAAGTGGGAAATTGTTCTTTTTTTCTTCCTTTATTCAGTACTACCAGGACATCCAGGGTTTTCAGCAGCATTCCATAGTCTTTACAACACAGAATACTTGCTACTTCTGGCCTCTGGTTAATGATGATGATTTTCTGCAATAACTACATTCAGGCAGGGGAGGTTTAAAAGTTCTCGCTGAAATTGCAATCATTTTGTTGCATCAGCACAGCAATTTGCAATATTGAGCTCAAGTATCTAATTGTTCCATTAGTACCCTTTGTGAATCACAGATGTCAGTACACATCCAGTGTATGCTTTAAGCATAGAACTGAAGAGAGAAAGTGTTCTCTTTTGCCTGTAAGTATCAGGGGTCTCCTGACTGTTGTCACATAGGAGGACTGGAAGCTCTGGGAAGTCTTGAGCCCTTAAACTGAGGGCTGAGCATACACAATTTATATTCATTGCTTAAAACATACTTCAAAGAAATCCATTATTTTCTTTAAAATGAGACTTCAAACCCTGAGTAGCTTTAGGTACTCTCTGCCAAGTAATGTTTCACCATCACATTCTCTTATATAAAATTAAAAGCTTTTCTTCCACCCTGCATAGGGGGGGGAAAAAAAAAAAAAAAAAAAAAAAAAAAAAAAAAAAAAAAAAAAAAAGATAAATTGCCTACCATTTAGATGAAGCAGCACAACTTACTGTACAAAACGTTGCTAAGTGCATAGAAAAATGGCAAGAGAAAAAGAGAATTCTGCCTTGACCCCCCATCTCCTAATCTTTTTCATGTTCTAATAATTTTGTGTCTTCCCTATGTCAGCAAAGCAGACGTTTTGAGAGAGCAGAATCTCCAAACGAGCGGGGCCCCTTCCAGCTACCGCTCAGCGAGGTGCCTCGAACAAGGGCCTTGTCTTGCTCGGGGCGGCTCCCGGCGCACAGCGGCCCCTCGAACGCCCCGCGGCCGGCAGCCCTGCTCCTGGCACTTGCCCGCAGCCTTCCTGCTCGCCCCAGCTCTGGGCAGCACAGCTCGGAGCGGGAGAAACCTTTGTAACAGCAGCTGTGACATCTCAGCAATGCCAGCTAGGCAGCAGTCACCCCCCCTGCATTCAGAGGGTTTTCATCACAGTCAGAAACTTCAAATGCCAGCAAGGGGGGCAGCACATTATTGCTTTTAGGCTTTAATGCCTATGTCAGCTCGATGCATCTTCAGGGAGTGATGATTCCAAAACATCGTTGGCTACCACTGCTCACAAAGGCCATTTTCCATCCAAAACAGATAAGAAAGCAAAATGACAGCTATACCTCTTATGACCGTTATTTTTACGGTATGAGTGCATTTGCTCAAGTATCTTTCCTCTAGGAAGAATACTATTTTCTTTGTATTAAAGGCTTTTGAAGACCTGCACTTGTCAAGTAGAAAGAAAGGATAGAACTCATTAGTATAACTTCAGAGCTCTCTACCATACGCATATACATCTTAACATGTCACAGAAGTGGCATTTTTAGGAAAAAAAGGAGAAAAGCAGGTAATTTTTGAACAAGCGGTATAATTAGCTATGAACCTAGAGAGTAGTCCTCCAATCAAGTTAGAGAAATAAGCACTATTAAAGAATATTATCTACATATATATGTCTCTATGACATAGATTTCTAAATTTTGGGAGATGAATCTCCTCAAACTGTCAACTGCAGTCTATCTGCAGAGTATGCACATATTTCTTTAAACTGTAGCTGTTCTTACTAATGTATTCTGAGATATTAGTGATAAAACAGCTTTTTAGAAACACACCAATACCTGAAGTAAACAAAATGAATTCCAGTATTATTATGGAATAAGAAACCTAGAGGCCACTATTAAGATATAGGTCTAGGAGTCCAGGGACCTGACTTCGAATATCAGTTCTAATACAGATATTTCTTTATAACTGTAGGTAAATCATTCAGCCACTTTGTTTTTGCAATAGATTCACTAGATGTGACAAACCTCTGCTTAATCAGGTTGTTGTTTATAGTTCTCAGTACTAAGTTTGAACACAGTCAATTGAAAATAAGGACTTAAATACACTTCCCAAGCTGACTCTGCCTTTCACTGGCCTCCTAAAAGCCACTTTAATACTGTGATGCCTGGTTTTGAACTGTCTCTCTCTCTCTCTGTGCAATGGGAAGAACACTTGAAAAAAGAAGGGAATAGCTGGTGTCTGCGTAATGACAGTCAGTCTTACATTCTTCCCTATCCTTTTGTAGGTCTCTTCACTGGTGAATCATTTTTTCCTGGTTATAGAAAAGGTCCTTCCTATATACCTAGGGACCTATGAAACTGGTTATGAACTAAGCACGATAAACAAAACAGGAAGAAATATTTTATCAGTAGATCTCTACTTAATTGGTAACAGTCACCTTATAAAAAATTCATTGTCAGTTTAGTGTTCATTAAGTGCCATGTGATTCTTATGAGGAAGCACTACAAAAAAGCAATAAAGAGTAAATGGTTTAGAGATAGAGAACAGTATCTATACAGCTTTTCAACATGGAGAACATTAACGTCTGTAACATCAGTGGACTTTTTTTTCTCACTTAGCTTTAGGAGAGACGAGGCACCTTCTCTCTATTGCTAGTTCAATTCTGAAGGTATGGTGGGAGGAATTGTAATTCAACATCCTTGGATTTATAATAGAAAGTAAATGAGTGGGGACAGCAGTACAGACAGTGATATGCAACACCACTGTTCAGAGCTACTGAGGCCATCCTTGTCCACAACTCATACAGAGTCTCCTCACTCATGGTCTAGGTAAATCTGCTTCTACCCCTTGTCTGTTGTACAGAGAAAAGGACTGAAGACATGCGAGGCTGATGTTTAAATGGACAAGGCATTCTGTGTTTGCAGTAATGTTGCTTAGACATTTGATTTAGGGCTCCTGTTCTGCCTAGGGAGGTGGTGCAACTCGCATCACTGCCCTGTGTGCGCAAGCAACAGAAGTAACAGGAACGATGCCCAGGCTCGGAGGCCGCCCAGCAGCCAGTGCTAGAGAGACGCTCAGGGAGCGAGTCCACAGGCCAGGCAATGACTGGGGCAATTACCTGTCTGCTCTGTCCTGAGTTTGAGTCTCCCAGAACTTTGGGACAGTGATAAAAATGCAGCTGGGGGCAATGAAAAGCTCAGCTGCTTTTCTTTAAATTCCCCAGGGAAGGGTTAGTTGCAGAGGAGCGGTACATGCAGGGACCCACCTCACTCCCATGCTAGAGACAGCTTATTTTGCTTAAGTGTTAGCAATGTCCAAATTATTATTATTTTTTCATCTTTGAAAGCAAAATCTCAACTTTTAGGTCATGGTAACAAGCTGCTGGTTTTCCGATTGTTTTTGACGTAAAGCAAAGTTTATGCTTTAAGTGCATCTGCTTTGTATTTTACATGGGGGAAAAATGTATTCCTTTTTAAGCAAGTTCTGTGCTGGAGAAGCTGAAGCCCGCAGAACCAGTGCGTAGAGCCAGTGCTGCTGCCACTTACAAGTGCCAGTCTGAAGGATTTTTGCACTAGCCAGTTTCTCTCTGTGAAAGAGAGTTAGTCTGGCTGTTTACAGAAGTTGATGAGATACGTTGTCCTTCCTGTTCCTCGGGTGTGCGTTACCCAGCTCCTCCCGCACACCCTGGGGCCGCCACCTCGGCGCTGTGCGGAGAGCCCCCGCTCCGCGCGCGCCCCGCGGAGCCGGAGGCCGGGCGGGCTGCGCCC